TTAAATGACCAAGATAGTTGTGTCATGTTTGTTAGAAGATTATATGTGTGGATGTTTACATGTTCAGTTGACCAAGATAGCTGTGAACTGTTTATTAAAAGATTGTATGTGTGTGTGTGTGTGTTTAAATGTTTAGTTATCCAAGATAATTGTGTCATGTTTGTTACTGTAGTAAGCAGTTTATGGTGAGTGTTGACACCTTTTTTTTAAAAGACAATTTATGGTTATTTTCTAGGGGGGGGGGGGGGGAATACCCTGTCAACCGCCTTATAAGAGTTAATGCAGAATAATAAGAATCTTGTATATGCTAGTCTCATTCATATAAGCCTTAAAGGGTACAAGGAAATGTCCAGGGAAGTAAAGGTAAAAGGTGTAATGTTGACCACATCACAGAGTGATGAACTGTCTATACATATATGAGCCTAGTAGCATATGCCCAACATTCTTTCACATTATCTCTCACTTACTCATACACACACACTCTCTCTCATACATTCTCACTCACATATACTGTCGTCTCCACAAAGAAAAACATGAACAATGTTAAATTTCTGAAACTCATATCACAGCAAATAAGCAGGTACATAATAATTCTATATGAAAATGTTATATTGGGGTACATAGTGTTACTTACTATGCTGCTGTTTTCATAAACATACAAACACCTTTTGACATATAGTGCTTAGTTTTTTAGGAAAACGATTAAACATATTTGCGTACACAAAATGTTGAACACAGCAATAAAGTGTATTGTCCAAATATGGTTCATTAAACAATATTTACCAACCACCTGCGAAATGAGATGTCTGAGAACAAAACTAGAAGAGATTGTGTGAGAAACAAGAACTGTTAGATCATCATCATCATCAGGTGCCTTGCCGACTGGCATTGGCGATCATGCCTCTCCATAATCTGCGATCTCCTGCAGCATGTATCAGTTCATGTGCCGACACACCTCCATGCCATGCAACAAGACTGTCAAGCATCTTCTCTCGTTGTCTTCCTCTATCTCTCCTTCCACAGATCTTTCCAATGGTCACAACATGTTCTATTTTCCCTCTTCTCATAACATGGCCGAAAAATAATGACTGTCTCCTTCCTTCTGTTAGAACTACACCTATGGTTAAATTCACTGAAAAGCAAAGACTGAAAGAGTTTGGCCATTAAATGAGTCTGAATACAATAATGCCAGCAACGAGAGCATACAACATGAAAGTAGAAACACCAGAAGTAGGGAAGGCCCAAGAAGAAAATGGATTGATTGAGTCACTGATACTTTGAGACTCCACAACATCGCAGCATACAAGGCAACTGAGTGTGCCCTAGCTTGGAAACTGATAATCTCTTGACCTGCGACACCTTGCGGCAAAAAAGGGGAAATGGGCAAAAGAAAAGAAACAGCATTTCTTTGCACTGCTCATCCAAGTAATTATATTTTCTTCTTAAGGGCCTGTTTCTTCTTCTTCTCTTCCACCATGTACTTCAGTGAAGTGCTGGGGGGGGGGGGGGGGGGGGGGGATGTAAAGTTTTTTGATGAACTCTGTCAAGAGCACCATTAAGACTGATGTTCATTTCTGTAAGGCTGTTCTTAATGTCATCACTCCATATTTTCCTAGGCTTCCCCTCGCTCTATACCTGTTGTAACATTTCAGTGTAGCTCGCTGTGGTAGATAGTACCAGGGCGTTCTTGTAAGATGTCAAAACCACTTCATTTGTTGTTCTGTGATGACCTGTAAGGCTGGCTTTATTTCTAGCATTCATCTAATTTCGTATTCTGTCTTTCCTTGAAACTCCTGCAGCTCTTCTAAGGCATTTCATCTCTGTTTTCACAATTTTACGTTCATTAGAGGATGTAAGTGTCCATGTTTGGCACTGATAGCATAGCGTTGGCCAAAAAAAAGTTATGATAAGATTCACTTTAGTACTCCGGGGTATCTGCTTGTGTGTCAACAGGGTAGATACTTGCCCCTTTACTTGATTAGCTTTGGCACATCTCGAGCTAACTTCTCTTGTCCAGTTTACCGTTGTATGTGAAAATTGCTCCCAAATACTTGAATTCCTCTGCTGGTCTTGAGGTATTTTTAAAATTTTTATTTTATTTCTAAATTGTCCTCCTATCACCATTGTCTCAATCTTCATAGTGTTTATTCTATTATTACATACCTACCTCCCCTTTGTTATTAATTCGATTAGGTGGTTTTGTAGGCATTCCGTACTTTCTGCTATGAGTACCTAGTCGTCGGCGAATAGTAATTCTGTAATATCTTCTTCATGATTAAAGTTTGCTTCCTTACATATTGTATCCATGTATGCTATAATTATAAGTGGCGAAAGTACACAGCCATGACGCACACCAGAGTTCACTACAAAAGTTCTTGACAATCCTACCTTTGATCTAATGCCTGTTTAACTGGCATAAATACAAATCCCAACCTGTACAGTTCATGATGACTTTACTAGTTATGTGGTCTGAAATCCTCAGTCTCACGACCACCCTGTCCCACATCACTGTCAAGTGGTAAATACATGCAGTAGAAAAAATGCACACAAAAACTACAGCAGCAGAGACACAAGCCAAAGTCCTCAATAATGACAGCTGTGACGTAGTGATTTTGTTTTATACCTTTGACTCATTTCATCCCTGGGGATAATACAACCACCTTCCATGGGTACACAGACCTTAAAACAACAGTTTTATAATTAAATATGCATAAACATTTATATGTAATATTTGAAATGATCAAGTGGTTTAGACCAGGGATCAACATCATGGCACAAGGGTAGTAATCCATAAGTGCTCCGTTCTACTTCTGACTCAAGCCTGAGTCTGAAGAATCTCAGAGCAGTGCACAAACTTTGTAGCACCGGCGAGGATACTGAAATACTTTAGGTAGATTTTTAACTTGAAATGTTGCCAGGACAGCGCTATTAGGCTATTATTTTTTGATTTTCCAACTGCCAAGGAATTTTTTTACGTCAGCAACAATACACACAAGCACCCGATTATACTACCCAGAGACCAACTGAACTCTTTCTGTCGCAAACAACACACTATTCATGTGTACAGGTCAACATGTTATATCATCCGTCATCAGTTCTCGTTATGCCTAGTGGCACATGAGGCTTCAGAGAGGACTTTCCATGCTTTCCTGTCCTGTGCAATCTTCAGTGCAGTTTTCCATGTCAAAGATGCCGCACTCAGGTCACTTTCCATTGTTCGTCTCCATGTTGTTTTTGGGCGCCCCTGTTTTCTCTTTCCCTCTGGTGTCCATGTGAGAGCTGTTTTGGCAGGTATATCAGAAGTCATTCTTATAATGTGGCCAAGCCATTTCCATCTTCTCTTGGTAATCATACTGTCAAAAGTTTCTTGGTTTGTGGCTTGAAGTAGTTTAGTGTTTGAGATTGTATCTGGCCAGAATATTTTGATAATTCTACGTAGTCATGTGTGGTGGAAGGTGGACAGCTTGTGTGCATCCTTTTTGGTCATTCTCCAGCATTCCGCTCCATAAAGAAGAACAGGCAAAATGATGCTCTTGTAGAGTCGGAGTTTCGTTCCTCTGCTGTAATTGTTGGATTTCCAGATTTACCTCATCCTTCCAAAAGCAGCTCTAGCTTTGTTCAGACGTGACTGTATGTCTTCCTCTGTCCCCCCCCCCCCCCCCCCCCCACCAGTAGGGACACCACACTGCCAAGAGACGTGAAATGTTCTACATTTTCAAGTGATTGGTTACTTATGGTCACTGGTTGTTGGTTTGGACTGTTTGTCATGACCTTAGTTTTCTTTGTATTTATTGTCAGTCCCAACATGTTATATAAGTGAATTAAAATATGTCATGGCAGCAAATTGATTTCTTGAAAATCATCCATGACTATACAAAGTGCTTTTTTTTTCTGGCAATATGCATTGGTAAAGCCATACCAGCACCTTTTTTTCTTCAGCATGACTGTACCAGACACTGTGTAATATATACATCTAAAACCCCTTTCTTTCTCCTATGGGTACCAAGTGCAGTTACCGTTAATTTATTTTCTTTTCTTCTTCTTAAATTCTATGCTGTGCTGCATTGGTAGTCATTTCTATTCACAACATTCTTTCTTGTGTTGTTAATTTATATTACAAGCCAAACAGAACTATTTTTTTAAAAAATATCCAGGGCTGTGTCTAGAACCAAATCAACTCAGACACTAGTCTAGTTTCTCCTGTGAAGATGGAGTGTTGAGTTTCAAACTTTTGACTCATCACAAAAGCATCTATCAATGGAGAATGCATGACAATCATGGAACCCTGATGAACCTTTCTTTTCCCCTATGTATCTTTAGATACACCTCAGTGCTGTTACACAATGGCAGTCTGTTTGCAAAATTAAAGTTCTGTCATGGTCAGATACACCTCAGTGCTGTTGCATAATGGCAGTCTGTTTGCAAAATTAAAGTTCTGTCATGGATACCTTCAACAGCAGTCTGTCAGTTAGTCAACAGATTATCCTCACTGCACATGAAAACATTCAGTCCATTAGTGATTCCTTCCTGAGTAAATCCAGCAGCTTGCAGCGGCTCACATCCCCAGTTGTGGGTTGGTTTCTTATTCTTCTTTGGTTTCCCGCATAGAGCTCTTGTTTGGCCAAACCCTTTTTAACTTGCTGTTCTTGCAGTCTAGTCATGGTTGCAGATTCAAAGTCACTTGGTTCTCAGAAACATCTTATTTCTCGTAAAGCATTCAGTATATCAGCCTGGTCCTTGACTCTTCACAGTAGCCTTACCTGCAAACCCATCAGCTTGTTCATTTCCTTGCATGCCTGTTTGCCTCAGCACGAAAATGAAAACTGATCTTCGTCTTTGACTGCCTCAGAGAACCAACCAATGTCTGTGAACCCTGCCCATCTCTACCTTCCTGAGCATACTCATTGAGTCACTGAGAAAGCAGGTGTGGGTGAAAGTCTCTGTCTCTAGCCATGTTAACACTTTGGTATGACCTTCAACAGCTATAAACAACTCCGAACCTAGCTATCTGCCCCTTCAGGATCACTGTCAGTAAGGGCATCAATAGTTGAGGCTGATGCACTGGCTGGGTTGGTCATTCCGTAGTTTAGCTTCTCTAAGTTGAAATCAGCAAAGCCTTCAGAATAAATGCTTAAAACAGGCTGATTATAACCAGTGGATTCTGCATAAGCACCAGGACAGCTTCTGTAGAGAACATTAGTGTCTGAGGCCACATCTTCGTGTGCTGAATCAAAGCTATTGCACATCGGAGACTCAGCAAGTCTGGAAACTGGAGCCAATGGGCTCAATACAGTCTCAGACTTACTGGAGATGAAACCGAGTCCAGAATCATCATTGAGACTGCATGATAAGTTTCCATTTTCCACATCTTCGTCATGCCACCGAGAAAAAGACTGAGCCTTTTTACAGATGCCAAACGGATGTAGACCTAAAGAGCTTGTGATACAATGTTCATGGTTCTGATCGTCGTCGTCATCCCACATATTATGCCACTTTTTGGTGTTGTTTTTACTCGGATGTTTGCTTACTTTGCCAATGACTTTCGTGAGGCCCACTTCTCCCAGGCCAGCGAAAAGTTCCTGAGCTATTTCTTCATGTTTTCTCTGGCTTTCATCATCACTTCCCCCTACAATCAGAAAGTGCTCTTCATCTTCATCCTCTTCATCTCTCCACTTGTTTTTAGTTCTTAGAGAAGAACTTGTCATCCCAGAAGAGACTAGAGATGTACTGTTGCCATTTTCGCCAGCAGAAGACTGCAGTGGGCTGAATCCAGATTCAGGAAAATCCAACGGATTACTGGATGTTGGTACTACTACTTGACAACTGGCTTTCTCTTCGGATAGTCTGATGTACATAGGCTTGAGAATGCCACCTCCATGAAGAAGGTTTTGGACAACTAATTTGTCCAGGAAAGACAGTGACATGTCCAGTTCTGTTTTTTGCGAGTGAAATACAATCTGAGATGTCAGCAGCAAATGTTCTGGGTGTTGAAGCAGTTCTTCCAGCTCATCGAGACAGCAACTCACAGATGGATGTTTCAAGAGTTTACACTTGTGAGTTTGTAGCCATTCTTTCACACAATCAACTTGTAAACTTCCACTTAAAACAAGTTTAGATATTGTATCTAGGCAACAGCACTGGATATTTATCAGATTTTCAAAATGGCTGTCATCAACTTCTTTACAGCTCGGACTTAGTGGTTTAATTATGGTAACCTTTGTCTGCTGCCACTCTGACACCAGCCTGGACACCAGAGTTTCAGCTGAAAAAAGAAAAGATGTACTTGAAAATGCTTCTCCAAGAATAGGTGCCAACACCCCAAATAGTTGTAAAGACAACAAGATAACTGACTGTCCTGAATCATAATTATTTATTACACGCAGAAGTGCCGCTATCAACTTCTGAAGAGAGTCACTAGAAATACTGTTGTTATCAACAGACACTTTTTCCATTCTGGATATCACAAGATCAATAAGGTCATCTCTAGTCTGGGAACTAAGTTTCTGATCCAAAATATTTAAATATGTGTCCAGGTACCAGTCAATGTCAACTGCTAATCTCTCCGCCAGATCACTTATCATGTGAACGGCTTCAGTAAAGAATTGCCTGTCTACAGTTTTGTTCATCTGTTCAAGCAGCCTGGCACACACAGCTTTGACGTTTGCCTGGTTAGCCATTGCATGAAGAAGATGCATGGTTCTAATCTGAATTGCTGGATCCTCGTCCATAAGACACTCAACAACAGCCATTTGATGTTGTGCTGCAAATGAAGGCTTGACTCTCGATAACGAAATTAACAGTCTTAAACCTTGATACTTCATACCATTGCTAGCATCAGATGACAACAGTTTCCCGATGCAGCGAGAGCACAAATGTAACAATTCTTCATCAGCATTAATCTGTGTAGCTGTTAGGACACTTTCCACAAGAACAGCTAATGATATGGGCTCCGATACTTTTGTTTTTTCAATAAGAACTTGCAGCAGTGGGGCAATTGCTTTGCCCAGCGCAGCATCCATAGATCCTAAACATCCCAGGATTTTCAGCAAACTCACTTGCAGCCAAGGTAAAGGAACCATGTGGTAATAGTAGTTAGTACCGAATCCCCTGTGATTGATTTGGTCAAGAATATGCAAAAAGCTAGGACCCAGGTTTACAAACCTCGCAGCATTTTCCTGACAAAGAATGAGAAATAAATTTGTTACTGCCGTTAATATACCTGGGTCTCTGGAGGCCAAAAATGTGTTGAGCTGAGGAAGATAAGGCTGTAGCAAAGATGGAGTACTCCGATAAAAAGCCCTTAAACAATGAAGGGCCTTTTCCCGTACAAGTTCATGAGAATGTCTCAGTTTTTTAATTACCTCTGGTAATATACTAGGTACATTGTCTTCGCCTACAAGCTCGCCAGCGACCATCAAAGCAATGCAGTTATTGGCCATATTTGCGCTCTTCAAGTCACGAATAAGAGTTGCCATCATCAGCATTACCATCTCGTGTTGCGGGTGCAGCAGCAAGCAACTCAAGAGGTAGCCCAGTCGCTTCTCGTACCCGTGGCCCTGCTGAGCCAGGTTCACAGCATGAATAGCCGCACAAGACACATCATAATTCAGCAGGTGACAGAAGATGATCTTTGTGAAGCTGCTTCTCACCAGCCCCAAGGAGGCAATGAGATCCGACTGTTTCAGTTTCTGCTGGATGCTTGATAACTCTGTCTGCACAATGTTTGCTTCTTGTGACTTGGATCTGGCTTGGTGGACAACCTTCATAAACAGCTGCACTTCCTGACTGGGTGGATGACCCTTTGTGGGTTTCATATTCTTTCCCCCACTAAAGCTTTGGGTGAGCAGCTTTGGCAGGGAGGCCAAAGTTTTCTCCATTATTTGGCTCATGCTGTTGAACCACTACATCTATTTTTTCAGTTACGCTAGTTTTCTCGTAAACACGGTCACTGTCGAACTGTTTATCGTATTAAATCTGAACTGAAAAGAAAAAAAGAAGAAAACAAAAATATAAAATAAAATAACCACAAAAATAATGCTGTAAAAATGTTGTTTCTGTGTGTATGTGTGTTGCTTTCCATGTTCCTGTAAGTATGAACTCCTTTATGTACAACTGTGTGCACAAGAGGCAAAAATGTGTATGAGGGGTTCGAGAAGTAGACAGATTGTAGAGGGGGGGGGGGGGGGGGGGAGAGAGAGAGAGAGAGGGAGAAAGAGAGAGAGAGAGAGAGAGAGAGAGAGAGATGGGGGAGGTAAACAGTAGGCAGTAGGTTCCAGTTAGTTAAAATAATCCACATTTCCAGACTAAAATACTTATCTGTGAGACTGTATGATCAGGGAGAGCAACGTAGAGTGTTTAGGACCCAATCTTCATTCCAGAAACAGCATGTGACCGACTGCTTTACTGACAGAGACAGGTAACTTCATTCTGTAACATCTTTTAAGCCTACTAGAACCTGTTAACTCTGTAATTGCTACTTTAACCTGCAGGTTAGCCATTTGGTTCACTCTGACAGTCAGTGGCGGCCTGAATTTATATACTGGTTGCAAGGAGACAAAGAAAGCCCACCCACAACTATTAGGCTATCTTTTCATTTTCTAAGAAATAAATAAAATGTTATAAAAAATACAGGTAACAAAAAAGAAATATAATTAGATAAGATCTAATTCTATATAATATGTGTCTGCCTAATATAACCAGAAACTGGTACCATTTGGTGTGTATTACATTATTATAATAATAAATATGTGCTGAATGTTAAAAACTTCAAAATCTACATCCTTATTTACTGGACTGCAAAAAATATGGACTACACAATCTGGTAATTTTAATTTCAGCTTCATAGCAAATGGGTCACCCCATCTTTGCTCCGCTCCTGTGCCAACGAAAAACACACAGAATGTTTATCACAGCCCCTTGTGGAAAGACTGACAAACTACTCTCTCAGTAAATCTAGCATACACTCGCATTAAAAGCATATGGTAGCCATCCGAAGTGCTAACACATACAGTCCGACGTTAGAAATGCAGTTCATCACTGATGGTAGCAGAAGTCATTAAAAGATCAGCAGTTGCACACACGATCAATTTTAATCAAATAATGGCCCTACCAATATTGCGACAACCGTCATTGCGCCATTTTCTGAATCTACAAATCAAACCACCACGTTGGTCAGTCAAAAAACATTAAAAATGAAATCCGCAGCTCACAGTGTCACGCCATGCACTCAACTCAGAGACTGGGCAATGAAACTATATACTTCCAGTCTACAAATGGAGCAAAAAAGCAACAGCCACAGTCTGGCAGAAGCAAAAAATTTTGCCTCGGCTCAAAACAGTGGCATTGCCTAGTGTTCATTTGGACCTGAAGCATTATGTGAGGGTTAATAAACTGTCACCCCAGCAGTGCCCTACTATTAGCTGGGGAAGGGATTTAGGACATTACATCCACCAGCAGGCGTCGCCCCAACAACCACCTGACTGCCTTCGTTAACGACTGTTCACCCAACAGCCATGCAGTTCTTTGGCACGAAGGAGACACCTTGAACTTGGGTTTCAAACTGCCGACTCCCTACACAAAGATATATGTGTGCTACTGGTGTCCCATAGCCAAAATACTATCTCACTGTATTACTAAAATTCAGCACGCATACTTAAACGCGCAGTAGTTAAAGAAAACACACACACACACACATATACACTCATTACCTGCCACCCGCTTGCTTTCTGGTGCAGCACACATGATTACATATTTATATAAGTGTATATATATACACATATATATATATATATATATATATATCGGGAGAGGGAGAGAGTGAGACGAGGGAAGAATCATGCCGAATGACCACAAATATGTAAGACACTGACACAGGGAATTCCCTATGCACACAAGGTCGGCATGACTGGCTCCAAGAAGGGGACAGTAAATTCAAATGGCTCAGTCTGATCAGATACAGTCCCTGCTGTGACAGAAAGTTGGCTGTAATAAAGGACTGCCGTAGAAAGGTGCTCCCAAGGGACGGTTTCAGAAAGGTTGCATACTTTGTGGTAGGGTAACATTGCTTGAAAAATGAAATCTGCAAGCCACCAGTGGTTGCATTCACATTTTCTAGGTTCTAACAATAGTAATATACTAGCGCTGACTAATAATAATCATTAACAGCTCAGCCAATACATACATAAATCAGCGTAGACAGAGAGAGATGGAGACAGTATATCACTAGATTAAACAGTATATCACTAGATTAAACAGTATATCACTAGATTAGACATTATATCACTAGATTAAACAGTATATCACTAGATTAAACATTATATCACTAGATTAAACAGTATATAACTAGAATTTTAATTTGGCATTACATTTCCTTTCAGTCATTGTCCTGTTGACTGTGTGTGCAGATAAGCCGTAAGGCTTGTAACTTGTAGCCGATCCCTCCATTCAGTTGTATCCTGTGTAATGACTTCGTCGATGTCATGGGTGGAATTCAGTCCAGCATCTCTGGCACTAGGTTTCTCTTGGACCTTGTTCGTTTCCCCAATCACACTTTAACTTTAATTAAAGTTGTTTCTAATTTTGTAATGATGTCTGTGCATGTTTTTAGTTGATTGATTCAGATAGATTCACTGCTCGTTTATTCTCAAGATGTGTCTAATATAGCGCCATCTTCAATATGTTATAACTGTTGATACCAATGGTTATCCAGGCATTTTTATTTTGTCTTCACCCATCTTTCAGTGTAGAAACTATTATCTATCTCTCACAGAAGGAACTTACCACAGGAGCTACCTCCATAATAGGTTCTCATCTTACAGATTGCGTCCAGAAAGTCAGTGATGTCCCCTTGACAATAATGACGTCAAACTGTAAATATATGAGTTGCCACATTGCCATTTAGCTTTAGGCGTAATTAAAATTTGTTACTTCTTCTTAACGTTCATCTGCTGTAAACTCCAACGGAAAGTTCTGGCTGTTCGTCTACTCCTGGACTTTTGTCTTGATCCATAACTTGAGTTTTATGTGCACATTGTTTTACAGATCTAGCTAATTTATATGCAGACTGTTGGTTTACTACTTTTCGAGCAGACGCGATCTGATTGATCACCTCTAATTAGTCGCATCCTACGACATGCTTGTTAAAAGACTGTAGGTCTTTTTTTTGTTATCCAAATTGCAGCCAGAGACCCCCACAAGAGGGAAGCAGTCTTTACAAACAGATCTTTTTTTTTTTTTTTACGGCGGTACGCTTTATCGTCGCATTTTTATGTGCCTTATTTGTTCAGTGCCTAAAATTTGTACAAGGTAAAGTCATGAATAGTTCAGGCGGCAGGCGTGGTGTTTACCGCATCAGCCACCTAGTGTAGATTGACCTATCAAAATTTGAGTCTAGCAACATATGCCTATCGTGCGCGTAAAAAGTCTTATAGTCTTCAACTTTACTTACAATGCACTATTACATAGATAAAAATATTTAACAAGCATAAATATCCAATAGCAGTTGACACAGTTGTATGTGTGTTCCATCATTTACTTCCGAATCTGGGACTCAGATCCCTTGAGCCCCCCCCCCCCCCCCCCAATCCCCCATGCACCCCCCCCCTTTTAAACACTTTTTGTGTGTTGAATATTTGTCTTCTTCTTCTTCTGCCTTTCTATCCCCCAATGGAGCATAGGCCCTCAACCAACTCACGCCAAGTCGTTCTATCCTTCGCCATTGCATGGAGCTCTCCCTATGTCCTCCCAATCTTTCTAACCTCGTTCTCCAGCTCTCTTCTCCGTGTGTTTTTTGGCCTTCCTTTATTCCTATGCCCCTGTGGGTTTCAATGCAAAGACATTCTAGTTATGATGTTCTCCTGTTTTCTCAGTGTGTGCCCTATCCAACGCCAGCGTCTTTTCCTCACTTCCTGATCCACTGGAGCCTGTTTAGTTCTCTCCCAAAGTTCTACATTAGTTATTCTATCATACCATTTTATTCCCTCTATTCTGCGCAGGCACCAGTTAATGAATGTCTGTAATTTATTAGTAATTGCCTTGGTTGTTCTCCATGTTTCCGCCCCATACAATAGTACTGATTTGACATTAGAATTAAAAAATTTTAGTTTAGTATTTCTTTTAATTTCTTTTGACCTCTACAAATTCCCTAGTGCTATGAAAGCCCCTCTTGCCTTTTGTATTTTTATTTTAATATCTCTATCATGTTCCTCCATCTTTATCTACATTACTGTCTAAATAGGTGTACGCTCCACGTCTTGGAGTGGGGTGCCATTAAGAGAAACCACATTACTATTTGCCTGATTTATTCTCATTATCTTTGTCTTTCCTTTATGGATTTTCAGACCAAGCTGCTGTGATCTCGCATTAAGTATATTTAATTTATCTTGCATCTGATTCCGTGAATGGGACAGAAGAGCAATATCATCAGCGAAGTCCAGATCATCAAGCTGTTTTGTAGGGGTCCACTGAATTCCATTCTTGGTGTTAGCAGTTACTGTTTTCATAGTCCAGTCTATAGCCAGTAAAAATAAGAGAGGCGACAAAAGACATCCATGTCGCACACCTGTTTTTATTTCAAATGCATCTGTTAGCTTTCCCTCATGAAGAACTCGACATTTCATGTCTTTATATGCTGCCTTTACTAAGTTGATAATTTTCTGTGGGATTCCATAGTGCCCCATCAATTTCCAGAGAGATTCCCTATCATTGCTGTCAAATGCTTTTTCATAGTCTATAAATCCAATGTAAAGTGGTGAGTTCAGTTCAATGCTTTGCTCTATTATAATACGTAATGTGGCAATCTGATCAGTACATGATCTGTTTGACCGAAAACCTGCCTGCTCATCTCTTAGCATTTTATTAATAGCATCTTTTAATCTTTCCAAAATAATTC